AAAAAAAAAAAAAAAAAAAATCAGTTGGATGTTTGTTTGTTTTCCTGTTGTTGTCTGTTCTCCCTTGATCTTTTTCTAAGTATTTTCTCTTACCCAACTGAGCACCCTTAAGTAGTGCCAAACAGTCGGTGGTTCCTCGTTTGGAGTGCCTACTGCACTCTTATTGGGGCCGCTCGGTTCGGGATGTCTGTGTTGCCTGTAGGTGATGATGGATGCTCGTTGGATTGTTTCCCTGCCTCAGTGGGTGGTGGGAACCAACAGTCTGTGGGGTTCACCCGTGATGTGAGTAGGTGATGTGCTGCTTCGCTCCGTGTTGGATGTGTGGACAGCCTCGTCTGCGCACTGCCACTGCCTTGCTTCCCGTCCCGCTTGCCTCGCAGGTCGTTCTCGGCAAGCTGCTGTCTTCGCTGTGTGGTGTGGCCGGGTTGTGGTGTAGCCTTGCGCTTCGCTGCTCCGCTGCCTCACCGCCCTTCCGCTGGTCGTGCCTTCCGTGTCCTTTGCTTGTGCGCCGTGTAGTTCCGTTGCCGTGTTGGTGTTGCCATGTGCTTCCTAGCATGGTTGCTCTGCTGCGTGTCCGCTCGCTCTGTCGTCCCTTGCAGTGTGGTTGTCTTGGTGGTGTTGCCTTGTGCTTCACTGCTTGGTTGCCGTGCTGCGGGTCCTGCGTGCTGTGGGTCCTGCGTGCTGTGTCTTTCCTTGCAGTCGTCTTTGGCGTTATGCAGCCGTGTTGCCTCTACTGCGTTGCCTGGTGCTCTGCAGGGTTGCTGCCCGCTGCTATGTTCCACTTGGGGACAGTCTGCCTTCATTAAGGGTCAAAGGGTGCATGACCCAAACCATCAATACGGGCATTCCGCAGATTGTCGAGGGTTCAGCCTCCTGATGAGTCGGTGCAACTCCGACGAAACAATCTATCATCAGCTTTTTTTTTTTTTTTTTTTGGTTGTTGTTTTTGTCTTGTTGTTGTTTGTCTTGAGCTGTTTGTCAGCCCATGCCATTCAGCCGATATGTGCCTTGCTGCCTTGCACTGTTTGTCTGCCCATCCACATTCCCCATGCCCTCGTCTATGTCTTCTGCTGCACTGTCTTTCGTGCCTCAATGTTTTATGTTGTTTGTTTGCCAACCCACCTCCCCCGTGCCCTCCTGCCTATGTACTTATTGTTTGTACTGTTCAACTGTCAAAGCTTGGTCCACAATGGGGTTATGTGAGAATTGTCTTCAAGGTGTCTAGTGCATAGGTCTCTCCTTGGGGGTCGTCGGGCGGAGTGCACTTGTTGTGTACTGGAGCTATATCAGAGTGTGTTTACACACACAGCACCACACACACACACACACACACACATACAGACACCTACCCACACACACACTCTCTCTGAGACACACAGACGGACATGCATGCATACTATCTGTTGGCTGTCCAACGCACCCGTTCATACTAGATGTGTTGGCTCTCCTCTTGTTTCCTGTTCCTCATGGTGTATTCATAGTGTTTGGTGTGTTCCTTCCCAAGTCTGCTGTTTGTTTGTTCTCTAGGTACCATGACCCACAAGGTTTCTTCTCATTCTTTGGCAGTATCTGATACAAGTCCAGTCCCTTCCGCACGACACTATTCGGGTGGATCCCTGGCTTTGTGGTCGGCGTGAACTGACAGTCGGAGGTCTTTTTTGTTCCGTGTCAGTAATAAGTGCTGATCCGCTTTGATCTTTTCGATATGAGTAAGCTAGCGCAGGAAGTGGTATGAGCAAGCTCCTCCTCCTCCTCCTCCTCCTCCTCCTCCTCCTCCTCCCTCACGCTGCACAATCATCAAGAAGATGTCATTACTAAAAAGTGAAAACCGAAAACCAGAATGCGGCAGTGAGGCTATTTTTGGACCATTGACATGCTGCTCCCTTTCGACATCCTGTCTTGCAGGTTTATTATCTGGCCCCGGAGTTTGGGAGGGTTGCAAGAGGGATGTACAAGAAAGCATACAGGGTGATGGAAGGAGCGGTGTGTGTGTGTCATATGCTCTTTCTTCTTCGTTCCCCTCTTGCTGAAGTTTATTCTCCATTTCCCTTTTTTTGTTTTTTTTTCCCTTTCTTTTACTCCGGTCTCGTCTTTTTTTTTTTTTTTTCTTTCCTTCATTTCCCCCCCCTTTGTTCTTCACTCCCCCCCCGGTGATCACGTGAATCGACACGCAGGCACACATCATTAATTCGATGAGCAGCATTGATTGCCCTCAACCGAGGGGATTAACTGGCCATCGCAGTCTAACATCTTATCTCTAGTCTGAATCCGTCATCACTTACAGACTCGCTCTTGCAGCACCCGGGGAGGAGGGGCATTCAGAATAGGGGGCTTTAGAAAATCAATTATAGCAAAACCTTGGACGGAAGCCCGGTTCCACCATTGCACTCTATTATGTAAGGTTACTTGCACCGCATTCCCCCCACGATCCTCATAATCCACGAATCCACTCAAGTGGGGGGGCACAGTTCACACAGATTACCCAGATTAATAGCCACGTGCTAACCTAATTAATCAGTCAAAAACGTGGCAGGGCACCAATCAATCACACGGGCGGCCCTGGTGCCAATCGTCGCTTCTCCGCCTGCCCCGCCAATCAATCACACAAGCGACCCCGATGCCAACCCTCAGTGCACTGCCTGCTCTGACACGTGGCCTAATCCTAAGTTGTTAAAAAGCGCAAGAAATGAAAATCGCCAATTCCGCTTGGCCAGCCAAGGAGCAAAGACCTGAGCGAACCACAGTTGTCTTGTTGCCATGTGGCCAAAAGAGGATGCCGTGATCCAGCTATCCAGCTTTCACTATCCCACCCCCTCACGCCACCACCCCACTCCTCGCGCCCACACCCAGCCTTCCCGTTTGCAAATAAACCCAATCGTCCTCGCCACTAGCCCATCCCCCCAAACTACAGCCGAAGAGCACCAGAAGAAATCCAAGAGGAGGGGAAGGGGGGAAGGGGGGGAGGGGGGGGGGGAAGAGGTTGCCCAATCGAACTTACCAGCTCGTGAGCAGTGTCGTTTTTTGTTATCGTTGATGTTGTTGTTGTTGTTGTAAACATCGGGAAGACGAAGATCCAGGCCTCTTCCCCACCCTGCTTCCCTCCCACCCGCATCCCATGGAAGCACCGCAATGCTATTTCGCCCGCACGAGCAGCGCCAGATACACATGAATATGCGCAAAACCATCCCCTCCCCAAGAGGCCTACCTCTTCCGAACATGGCAAGAATCGTGGGAGAAGCCTGCCACTCCCTGCGATTGCCCCCGTCTGAATCGATGTTGCAATTGTTGTCAGCAATATTGTCGTCATTGTTGACAACCTGGATGACTTGGATGCGAACATCACAGTCATCTTCACGAAGATCACCGTCTTCGCCATTATTATTATTGTTGTTATTGTTGTTGTTGTTGTTGTTGTTGTTGTTGTTGTTGTTGTTGTTGTTGTTGTTGTTGTTGTCGTCGTTACTGATGTCGTTGTTGTTGTTGTCGTTGCTGTTGACGGCGTTGATGAGAGCAACAGTGGTGAGATTGTGGTTGTTTTTACAGTCGACGTTGATAGCATCTTCGGCGATAGGGTTGATGTTGTTAGCGTCTCCCATGATGTTGCCGTCATCATCATAGCAGCGGTCCTCCAGCGTAGCACAAAGATCTTGCCCCTCCTCAAGCTCCTCGTAGTCGTCCAATCGTGGCCAGTCTATAAACGCACACAGATGGGGGGGCGGCTCCTCCTCCAACCCCCATGTGGTCTCCAGTAAACACTGCCGCTGACTCAGGATCCACGAGAACGACGGAACAATCGTTTCGGCAGCCGCCGATCGCAGCTTCGCCACCACCTGGCTTACACTCGCCCTGCTCACTTGGACGGTAGTAAGCCACGCATCAGCCCCCAATTCACCCGAACACGCCATCGCCAACCACCACTCAATTCTCACCTCCTCGTGTGTTACACCCCATGTCACACACCCCTACACACACCTAGCAACACCCCTCCTTACTGACCTCACCCTCCCAAGGGGTCCACAGATAGCGCACCATGCGGCACGCATCCGATCAGCTCAGAGGCCACGTCAGATGACGGGAGAGCCACCCTGACGAGTCGCACGAGGAGTCTCTCGATCACACAGCTTCCACTCAACCGCAAAGCAAAGTGAACCGGGGTGAAAGTGAAGCCTGGATGATGGTACTTCACCCCACCCCAGCGTGAATTTTTGAAGTCCATGACCTGATGTCCCCGGTCGTAGACACCAATCCACGACTAACGTGGTGGTTAGCCACACTCTGCACATAAGGCATAGGGAGAGACCAATGGACATGCACCTTAGTGGTCTCGAACCCGCAATCTCTCGATCACACAGCTTTCAATCTCCCAATATGTTGTTTCAAGATCTCTGAGTTTCTTACAAAAAAAAAAAAAAAAAAAAAAAAAGGATCTCTGACAGCCGAGCCCTCTTGAGAACTCGTGAGTTGTTGTAATTCCGAAACCACAGATTTGCTTCTTGCCTCAAAAATAGCCTTGGAGACTCGCAAGCGTCAGAGAGTCAGAGTTGTGGCGCAGCCTCTTCCAGACTGAAAAGCAGGGCTTCAATCAGTAAATTTCTTCTTTTTTTTTTCCCATTATGACCTGCATACCGTTTTCCACTCTTTTGAAGATAATGCGGCCTCTTAAACATTGTATGTCGGTCGGTCGCTTTATCCGGCGCTAAGCGGCGTACGCGCCCTTGTCGAAGAAGAGTTGTTGGTAAGCGAGTGAACCATTCTTTTGTAAGTCTAGGAAGAGCGCTTGGCGCTTTCGCCGGAGTTATGTTACCAGGCTTACTCTTGATATATGTATGCATATATATAGTCAAACAGAGCTGCCCGCTAAACTACATAGGCAGAGAGGGAGGGAGAAGAGGACAAAACAAACGAGGGGTTGTGACAAACTGTTTCATTTTGTCGGAGTTTCACCGACTCATCAGGAGGCTGAACCCTATATATGTATGTATGTATGTATGTATGTATGTATGTATGTATGTATGTATGTATGTACGTATGTATGTATCTATGTATGTATGTATATATATTGTCAAACAGAACTGCCCAGTAAACCGTCAGCAGAGAGGGGGAAGAGGACAACAAATGAGGGGGGCTGTCACAAACTGTTTCATCGGAGTTTCACCGACTCATATTTATAGATATATCATCTGCTGGAGTGCAATCTGTATAGCTCTGAATGAGCATGGGCTGTGAAAAATTGACGCCACTCCGAGGTTTTTTGTTTTGTTTTTTTAAATAGATTAAAAAAAAAGGGTGACAGCCTCTATATATCATCCTTGAGCTGACCGACCCCAGGTAAGTCAGAATGAATTTTTTTTATTTTTTTATTTTCAAGTCCATGGTGTTGTAGAGGCCAGTCACTGAGTACACAGTGATGACCTGGAGCAGTAGGCCGTGGGTGTCCTGGAATATGAGACCACCTCCCATCCCATCCTCACGTCAATACTCCTAGCGCACCCCCTATCCCACTATCCTACCTCAGTGTGACCAGCACTCAGGACCATTACCCTACCAATGGGCAGTGCCAGGTAACTTGGACCGAACAGCAGTGATAGGCACCAGGGCTGATAGGTTGCCCAGCCCTGGTGGAAGCGGAATCGGACGAGCCTTGTCGAACGGGAACTTCG